CTATAACATAAAATAGTGAAAAGTGGGTGTCACATTGTACAGTGCACCTCTGCCTACCCCTTCGGGGTTAAAAGGCGTGATGTTATGTTATGAGTTATGTAGTTTTGGAACTGGTATCCAGATTTTACTAAGTGAAAATTGACTGTGAACTAAAGTAATCACATAGTTGAATTATAAAATATTAACGCATATGCTGATAAGCATCTTAGCTTAGGTATCTAGTATTTACCTAATGTAAAGACTCCTTCATACAAATAAGCGCTACTTAAACGGTAAATGTACAGCCATTTTACTTAGATAAATTGTTTATCTATAACTCCAAATACCTTATGCTCTTGAAGAGCTCATTGTTCATCTCAAAAAACACTTCAAGTATTAGTTCAGGTGATTTTAAAAACTTCATATTTTACATACAAATCCCTAAGATAGTTTAAAATCGCCTGTATTTTAAACTGAACAAGGTGTTTTTTTGTATATCAGGTGTTGTTGTCTGGTAGATAATATGTCATAAAGTTAGCGATTATTTGCAAAGTATAGACGTTTTTCGTTTAGAATACAGATGTGAGTCAGAACATGATCTCAGGATATACAGTTATGGGCTCCAACCTTCCATAAGTGGCTGGTGACGTGCCTACTCAATGTTGTCTTAAAACCAAATGGCAGAAGTTAAATTTTGTACCTATATTTTGGACATCGTGTCCATTCTCTTTTAAAGTTACCTACAATGATTTTTATCGACTTAAAAAAAAGGAGGAGGTACTATGTTCGGCTGATTGTTTTTCGTTTGTTCGCGCATTACTCCGCCATTTGTGAAACGATTTCTAAAATTCTTGTTTTGTTTGAAAGGGTATACTCCCGAGATGCTCCCATTTCCATGAAGTCAGGATCTGATGATGGGATCCTAGGGAAACCGAGGGGAACTTTCGAAAATTCTAGGGGCGAGTAGTGCGTCTATTATGTTTTTCAATTAGGATTTTTAAACACTACAATTTGATAAGGGTCTGAAGCCGACAAACAGTCGAGAGAACTCCTCAGCGGTTTATAACACTAATTTTAAGAACCGTTGAAAATATATGTAGTAAGAAAATACTGGAGTAGATATCTATCTAAATATAAACCAATAAAGCGTAAACTGGGTGCAGACAATTGAGGCTTAAAAGGCTTAAAAGCAAGTCTATGACATCAAAATCAATAACAGACAACGCTTCTGTTTTATATCCCAGTGAAGCATGAAATTATACCGATGTATGAGCAAACACATCCTTATATTGATGCAATATAACTAAGATATTGGTAGGTATCTTGTGTACCTGAAGAAATGCTGGTATTACATATATCTACATTATCTTTTGTAATCGTAACCTCGGAAATTGTTTAGTATATTTAAGTGTACAATTTTCACGTTACTACGCAAACTAATTCATATTTTGTTATTGCAATAGGTAACGTACCTACTTGTCAATATGCATCGAGGACGTTACACTATGTAGGTTGGCTTACAGATTTCAAATAATACCGTTAAGCAAGTTTAACCTCAATTTTATGGGGTATTAGCCCTGTTTTACTTTGTCAAACAATGGTTTAGATTGGACACAGGTCATTTAGGCTTCATTGGATGATATGATAATGATGCTTGGTTGAAATTCTAGATTTTTGTAGTGATTTTCCCGTGTGTTGTTTGATAGTTTAAAATTAAAATGAGGAAATGTCACCTCAAATTCATAAATAGGTATTTATTAGGATTACTGTACTGCTATTTTTTGTCCATAAAAAGAGCTATCCTGCCTGCCATAACTTTTATAATGTTCACAGAAACTTTATATGATTTTACACGATCTTCAAATTAAACTCAGGAAGTAAAGTCAAGCTTCATTTTTTTTTGTTTAATTAGTAATGAGCTACTAAACATTACCTAATAAGCGTTTATTAAATCTGATTTCATAGGTTTCCTTGTACTTTATAAAAACCTAAGTGCTCACGATCATCAGGCCAATAATTGTACATAGGTATTGTAGATATAAATATCAAGGTTTTCAGAACAGTTCCTTGTAGCTGCATTTAATTTGGTCTTGAAAACATAACCTTTAGAATGTACCTGTTAATTCCAGATGAGGTCACCAACTAGCTAATTTAATTTGGTCTATTTCAAATGTTAACGTTAATTTTATGTATTCATTCATTATAATTATAATGCATAGTAGATCGGTTTCGTAATAAATTAATAATTCATCGAAGTGACATGAATTTGATTGGTTTAATAATTGATTTTGAGTTTCCGCTGCGAACTAGCTTTTTATTACAAAGGTGGAGTACAAATTGTTCGAAGTAACCTACCAATTTTCTTAAATAGACTATTCGGTTTATTTATTTTCGTATCTCTGTGAAACTAGCAAAACATATCTACTACACCGTATTGCGACTATAAGGCAAACGAAGCGAAGAATGCGCCTAAATGTTTACGCGAATACTACAAAAGAGTTACTAAATGGAAACATTACAATAATTAGCCGAGGTCACGTAACAATGCAATGTGCTAGCGGTATCAGTGGTAAGAAAGGACAAATTGAACGAAATCATTAGCAGTCGTCCAGCGCGCTTACTTACACAAAAGAGCATTCAAATTGTTGTATTGAACGGAGCATAGAACTATGTATATAGAAAGTGCTTTTCTTTCTTTTTGTTTGCATGTACATACATAGGTACTATGTGATTTGTGTTTATGGATGACTATTTTTGTTACAGTTTAAATAAGTAGGTATACCTATATTTTTTTTCATTTGCCTTCAATAAAAAAGTACTTCAATTTAGGTACATTATATTTCTTTTAGGCTAAGATAAAACTACTAAAGCACTTGCGTAATCCAAATTAATAGGTCCTTTCCCTAAATTACTGCATTAAGTACGTACACAACAATAAATTGTGGTTTTACAAGAAAGTACATATTTTTATTTCTTTTATTTTAACTGACTGGCCCTTTCGCCAATATTAAAATGGGTACAGCTCAATTGGATATTATGTCACTTGAATAAAATTATGTAGGTACCACGCCACGCCCTTTTATCAGAAAAGGGCGTGACGGTCAGTTTGTAATTCACAATGCACATTGCAGGTATATTTTAAAGTATTTACGAATATTACTTTATGAACTGCCTATGAGAATGCTGGACTCCTCACGGTTAGCCGGGTTGGAGATCGCATTACTCAAGGATCAGGGGCTTACTCTTGAATCCAATTCCAATCGGTCGACATTGGTATTGTAAAATTTCGTACACTTGAGTTGCAATACTAGAAGCCATTGTATCCGTATTGCATGGATATTTGATGAACCCAATGGTATTGAGTTTGGCTTCATATTCCGTACTCTGAATGCTATTTTAGTAGCTACGATAGGCGTTGTATATTTTTGATATTGAATAATTATTGAGATTTTATTGGATTAAAATTGCATTGAAATTGAGATTAGTTTCAAGAGTAAACACTCAGGTTTATCAGAGAGCTGCTAGGTAAGGTAGGTATGTGTACAAATGTTATACCTTCGGGACTAAGGGAGTAGAGGTGCTGACAAATGTATTCTATTCTACTGTTACCAAAAGACAAGTGATTAATCATATAGAACATTATAGAAGTGAACCATATGTCGTTTATATACGGTCTGGTCTTGTTACGTATAGTGAGCGTTTACTTTCACTAGCGCGCGACCTTGACAACGCGTGACCGCGACTGATCGAGTTTTGATAGTCGAGTAGCTTGCATCTACAACAGATCATGAATGTAAAGGAAGCATGAATTTTTATTACGTCAATTAATTCATTCGGAAGTACCAATTCAGTTGGATATCGATGACAGTTTAATTCTAAAGTTAAAAAAAAATATATTTGAAATTGAAAGTACACTTAAGTTTGCTAATAAGAAACAGATTTACTGTAATAATGAAGTTGAAATCAGTTCTTTTTCAAATAGGTATCGTTGTTTTTTAATTTGTAGGTACCTAATTTTATTTCTTTGTTAATATTTCTTTCGACGTAATCGGAGCTCTTTCTCGCTGTTTAATTTACTCTAGATACCACCTAAACATTCCTTCATATTTTATTAATTTTCCTAGTTTTGTCAAACCGTTGACTTAACAAACAGTCTACGTAAACTGAAAGCTTTTAAATTAAGTCTCCCTGTTCAATTGGAACACATAACATCTAATTGAATGTTTATAAAGTAGATTAAAAAATTAAAACAAACTTATGTAGGTTGGTATGTATAGGTTAAAGTTGAGGATGCTGTAAAACCCGTATCCTTATGAACACTTTGTTGTAACGATTACTTGATCTTCCCTTCACTCGCATTACGTGGAAGCTTTAAAAATGTTACGAGTGCATTCTGAGGCACAAGGTTTTTAACACAATGTAAGAAATATTTCGGTTACAACAATGTAAACATGATTGTTATGGCAAATTGCTCTATTAAGTTTAATTTATTTATCATGCATGCAGACTGTGCATTTGTTCGTAATGGTTTATAACCTCCCAAATTACATTTAGGCTCCAAATGTAGCTTCACTTTTGACTTTTGGAATAGTGACATTTGGCAAAAACAATTGACCTGGCTAGCCATCTCTTCTATGTTATAAATGTTATGTATACCTATGTTATGTGTCTTTGAGAGCTTCGTACCATTGTACAGTCTAATTTTTAGATTTAGTTTTATTGTAGTCTTTCTTGTTTTCTGGCTATTAGGAACTAATTTATTATGTTCCACTTAATTATGTTGTTTTACTTAATATACATACATATTTAATACATACTTAATATACATACATTTTAATAATATTTTTAGTCTAGTATTTGCCTTAAGTAGCATTTTATTAAGTTTTGTACCCATTCATTTCGATTAGGTGATAACAAACGAAGTGGTATGTGTGACAGAAGTTGTCAGACATTCGTCTACCCTTTAGAAAATAATATAATATTAATTAAATTTAAGTAAATATTGGACAGCCTTTCCTTACCTCTCAGTATTGACAGTTTTATTTCATCCTGACACAGAGTGATCACCCGCTCTATCTTCTGTGGCGCTGTTGGCGGGTTGCGGCATCTTGACTCCTAGAAACAGAAAGAACAAGAAGTTAGCAAAAAGTAATTTGTAGAAAAGGTACTTTAATTCTTTTCTTCGTGGGGCTTTTACAACATCACTTGCATTTGCCAGGTATATAAGTTAAACAAAATCTCAGGCTTCATTCTTATACTTCATGATTTCATTACTATGAATGTATTGTTGTTGTGCACTACAATGCGGATACTGAGATCAGTAAAAACTACCTGATAGGTATATCATTAGTTCCTAATATTTACAATACAAAGTAACAACGAATTTACTTTTGAGAATTCTTTTTTGGAGATATTTGTTTGTAAAAATGCATCAGACACTCTTCTTCACTCTTCTTATTGTCGTATAAATAAGGCTTAGGAAAGTATAGGCATGGTAAAACTATTGCTAACAAGAAATAGCATAATAACGTATGTTTATAGGCTACCTACTCAATTTGTAGTGACAGAACTATGCTTCAGTGTGAGTTTAAATTGAGTGACGTTTGAGTATTACAGCGTTAGATACCTAGTTCTTACGAGTGAATCCTTAAACAGTATTTACAACTTCCTTAGTAGAAATGACGACAGTTTATCGTGCGCCATCCAATGGTCGACAACACACCTTATCTATAAGTAGTTACGAGTATCTCGTATAGTACATACACTTGCTACACATGGGAACACTTTCACTCGGCACCCACAATTGTGATGGAAAAGCGTCATGCCTCTATTGTTCCTACGGTAAGTTACTAACACCTGACTACGCACTATTTGAAGAAAAATGTGACTACACTGCAGATCAGGGATATAACTATCTTTCAAAGTAACTGTTTTGTCAAGGACATAGCTGTTTTTTTATAGTTAAAGGTTTCTAACCCGTGTTGCCACTAACATGCCTGATGCTTTTCTATAGCACTTTTAATTGATTAAGTTCTAATTCATTCTAGACCCCAATGATATACCTAAGTTGTATGTATGTAAGCATAATTATTATCATCACTTAAGAAGTAGAGATTTAATCAACAGTCAGGTCGAAACAAAGAAATTCTTAAAATGGTTTTGTTTTACTTTCACATTTTCATTAGTTTGGTAGAAAGCATGACGCATATGGTTTGAGCACGCATACGTTAATTTGATAAAGTAATTCGTCTGCAGAGCACTTAATAGGTGGTTTTGCTCTCTAATAGGATAAAGGATAAGAAATTCGTACTACCAGTGTTGGTTTTCAAATTTTCATTGGTGCAAGACCATTGCCTTGCACTATTTCTTTATCCTTATTCATCGCCATCGTTACCCAGGTAATTTTCCTAAAAACTTTTACATTTTCATTTCATTTATTTAAACTGTCAAACACCAAGCGGTCACCGGTGACCGCAACCTATTGTTCTATAATTGTGTCTACAAAACCGGTACTCGACGAGTTAAATTATTCTCACGCGTTGTTAAGTTACTTAATAATTTATTAATATCAATATTTTTATAGCATTGCGTGAGAGCAAGGGTATATACCTAGTTAAAGTTTTCAACCAGCAGAATGTTAACTTTGGGTTGAGGAGAATTACTTATTTATATTGTAATTTCGTGAGACATACTAAATTGATTATGTTTTTCGACTTATTCACATAATTATTTGACGACTACTACTGACTGACTACTACTGACTGCATAGCAGCGCGGCTCGCGGAATGCTGCTCATGAATATATGAGCCTCTAGCGTGGCTTGAAACTAGTCTAGTTCCTCGTCAAATAATTACGTGAGTAAGCCGAAAAACATCATAACTAATAAATTTAGGATAATGACGTCGTCAATAGATGTTACTTCTTTTGAAGAATCACAAAAATGTTCACTTGCATTTAGTGATTTTGTCCTTATTAGTTAAAAATGTTTTATCATCACGTGGTTCAGAATCGCTTTGAAATCTAATAGGTACAATATAATGTTCTAGACACTGTAACTAGTCTTAGACGCGAATTAAAACTTGTTTTATGCTAATTAGATTAGCATTCTTTACCATTCCCATTACCATTTCTTTTCCTTTTTTGAACTTGACTTCGTTCAATATAGTTTTCACATCCGACTATACAAAAATGTACCATGAGGTTATTGTAACTTGGAAAATTGTGACGGAAGATTAGCCACGGTTACAACTCGTGCCGTAATGTAACCAAACAATTTGGGCTTTGCAACTATTGTTCTAACAATCAGAAACATAGATAGACAATAGATCTTACTAATCGGATATTGAATGACTATTTGTTTTATTCGTGGAGTTAGTGTCAAGGATTTTAATACGTGGGAGTTTTTAAGTGTAGGTAACCTTAGGTTTTGATGGGCTTATGTGTTCGTCCAATATAATATATTATGTTTGCTGGTTTGATGCCTCTACATATCTGAGATACTGTTTTATATTGAGCTGAGTTTTGCGAGACATAATTTCATAATCTAACTGACTGACTGCACGGTTGGCGTGTTGGTTGAGCAATTGGCTGCTGCGCAACGTGTCGAGGGTTCGATTCTCGCACGGAACAACTCTGTGTGATCAACAGTTATGTATGTTTGTAAATGCACCCACGACACAGGAGAAAATCCCAGAAATTAATTGAATAATCTATTTAATGAGGAATACAATGTTAAGGTATCGTCACACTGCATGACTCGTCAATGTCACGTTCAAACTATTGGTGCATATAGGCGAGACAAATTGTTAGGTTATTGAATATTGTGCTTGAATTTGCCTTCACGAAACAAAAACTGTGAATTATTGGTTTGTAACTGAAAAGAATTAGCAAAAACAAATCGTTATACCTAACTATCTGTCTTGTAATTCTTATTTGAATCCACGTGTCGGGCAAGACAAAGGCCACATCCAATATAGATGTAGACTATTAATTCAGAAGTAATTGTCGCAACATGGGCGTTACCTACTTAATATAAATAAATATGAAACTTCAAAGTATGTGTGGCCCAACTCGAGCCCTCCATAACCATACCATCACAAACACACTTGACCTTGACAAGCATTAGCAGTTCTCCAACTATTTCCAAAGCATAGCAATCCATAACTCCTGTAATTTCGAAACAAATGTCATTTCGCATTGACAAACTTTTCGCAATCTAAGCCGACTTCACAAAACTCGAAGTTAAGAGTTTCTTCATAAAGTAAAAGAGTACAATTATAATATGATTAGTTTACAAATGAGATCTTTCGAAATTATCTCTAGGTTGTGTAGATTTCTGAGGGGTCTAACAACAAACGTTTGGTGAATAGATTGCATAACAATATTATATTATAATAGAACACTATATTATATGACAGTTGCTAATGAATACTGCACATTGTATGTAGCGTGTGAATGCGGTTATGAACAGATACAGATCTTTGTCAAAACATTAATGGATTATGTGAGAAATGTGGTCGTATTTGGGTCAAGCTCGTCGTAGATTTCATAAAAGAATCATAGACTAACAAACGAAGTATTTATTAGAAAACTAAATAATTCAACATCCCGTTGAATAGAGGATAGAGAGCAGAGAAATGCTAAAACTAAATACATTCTTTGGCATTTAAAGCATTCTAAGAAATTTATGTACCTAGAGGAGAAAAAAATGTGACAAAAACTACGAAGTGAATAGATATATTACATGGATAGAGCAGAATACAGCCAAATTAGTGCAACTAACTTATCCACAATTTTAACAAGACAGCCTAAACATACGATTGCCAACCAGCTATAACTATTCATATTTACGTCACTACCACCATGTATGAATATTCAAGGTATTAGACAAATGTATGTAGGCGAAGCGATGACGATATGAGCTCTTAAGACATTGACCAGTTTGAGCCTGCCCTTATAAGTCGGATAGAAAGTCAGTTTTATGACCAGTTAAAAGTGTAATTTGCAATTAAATGCTGGGAAGTTAAAAGCAATCTTAGAAATGAGGGAAACTTGATTACTTGATTCATTTGAAGGTAATTATGTCTTTCGCCCGACCGAGAAACATGCATTTGATGGTGATCGATTTGTTGTGTAGACAGCTGTTCTCAGACTTTAGTCGATTTTATACAGTCAGATTTATATCTTCGACATAAGCTTACATGTCTTGATCTAACAGACACATAGATACTCAAAATATTCAACTAAAAACGTCTCATTTGAATGTTTTAAGTCATACTTTAAACAGTGCACGACACGTATGATTTTTGGTCTAATTTATCACAAGGTACCAAGTAAACATGAATTACAAAATTCCTATGAGGAAAAAGTCCACTTTACCGACGAAATTTAAACTTTAAGCAACATCTTGCCATGACATATGAAACCACCCAAAGTCCAGTACCAGTCTTAAGTCCTAATTTCCTAACTTCGTATAGCTATGCAGTCTAATGATGCAAGATACTGAACTCTAGCTCTTAGCCAATAAGTTCAACTTGAGTCCAATTGCCGGCGCGCGCAACACCGGCGTCAACTTATGTAACTGGCGGAACATCGATGCAAATGGCAATAGCGGCTTTTTTATTTTGTTTTTTTTTTTTAATAAAATGTAAACCTTTAGTAAGTACAGTTTGTTTTTAAACTGTCAAACACCAAGCGGTCACCGGTGACCGCAACCGGTGTTCTATAATTGTGTCTATAATGACGGTACTCGACGAGTTAATCAGTAGGTTCTACTATTTAATGAAATCACTGTTAATACAAATGGATTAATTTAAGGCACACTTGGTCATAAATAAAAAATGAAGTCCTAATTGCAAACCGATGTGTATCACGCTTCAATACAAAGACAGAGCAGTTAAGGAAGCAGTAATAAAATGTATGAAAGTTATTAAAAAAAGCTTAACATTCCATGCTAAGCCTAATGACTTTGAAATTGATATAACGATGCTTAACTTATTATCTCGACAAAATATCTTCACTAGATCATAGAAGATAATTAAGATTGACGATAAGTTAAGCCACATCCACAATTTATAATAGAGTTCATGGATTCTCATGCCTTTCAATGTAATGCC